CACATACCGAAATAATGCTCTAAATCTTTATTTTTAAATTGACTTCAATTAGCGCAAAAGGTTTAAACAAGTGTTACATAGAGGCATTTTTTTGATCTGCAGATGGGGCGATTAATTTTTTGTAGGTTTCAACATAGAGTATTTTAAAATCGAAAACGATATATTATAGAAACTTCGTAATAAAAGCAAAAATTGCAATTATTCGGCATTGCAATTGTTTTTTTTTTAACAAATGTAGTTGATTGAAATTGCATAATAATTTATTTGCAATTAATTTTTCGGTACGCCTGATAATAAGTACAGATTTTAATATTACCTGAATATGTCACTTGCGGTTTTTCTTTATAAAAGAATTTTTTTAGGTAAATACAAAATCAGTTACTAAAATATTAATCAGTTAAATTTACTTACGTGAATTAGTCTTAAATGTCCATAGATTTTCCACAATACCATAAATAGGTTCATCCGTTAAGGCATATCTCATAAATCCATTGTCCACCACAATTGTATAAAAAGAATTCAATTGATTAAAAATACTTGGTGAAATATTGCATGAAATTGTATTTGTATTATTTAAAATATTACAATCTTCCGAATTTCCAGAATAGAATTTTCTTAGCTTGAATTGTTTAGTAGTCTCATTGGTTTGGTAAATGGAGAGATTACTCGACGATTTAATAATTGGATTTGAAAAGGTGATATTAATAACATTTGTGTAAGGTGAGATAGTATTATTAATGTTTGGGTATACTGAAATAATATTTGGATTTTCATAACCAACTAATAAATTTTGATTATATTAATGAATGAATTTTGATTCTATGATTTGAAATAAATTGATTTTACAATTCTACTCACAGTCTTCTCTGAATTTTGTTAAATCTATACTGAAAATACTCCAATTGCCGGGCTTATACAATACGTATAATATATATGTGTTATTTTTCATTATGTCAAACGTAGCACTTATAAAGTTTAAGATCGGATTTAAATCCCATTCTTTTTCGCTACCATTAATCGAAATAATATGTCCAGATAAATTATAAAACAAACTGTGTCGACAACGGCAATTTCCAATATGAGATACCTCACATAAATGGTTAATACATGAAGCGACCCAACTAGTTACAATAGATCCACCATAGAATAAAGGCTTGATATTAAAGTATGAATTGATATAATTGGTAGTAATGTTCACCTTTTGCAAGTATCGTTGCTTTAGTCCAATTATAGAACCCGATGATAAGAAATCAATTTGATATGTCACTATCATCGAAATATTTTGAGATTTCTCAATTAATGCAGTTATCATGCACACATTCCCATCCACACTGTAACTTGATGAACATGAAACGTATAATATTGTATCAACATTTCGCGCATAATAAAGTAAAAACTTTTCAGAAATTTTGTGAGTTGTCGGAACTAAAAACTTATAATATAAATATGCATTTGGCACAGAAATATTTGAAATACTGCTACTATTGTCATACAGAATTTCTATAGTAACAAAACCATAGCCTCCATTAACGATTGGAAATACTGATTTAAGAGTCGAATTATTTGAAAGTTCAAAAGAATTATTGGCTACAAGATTGATATTAGTTTCTTTCCTAAAGGTGTATAGTTCAAATATTTTAGTAGTAATAAATTATTTCGGTTTGACATACGAGTATATTACTTACTGTAGGTTATATAAAGACCAACTAATTACTCTTTTAAATTGGCTGTAAATTAAAAAGTAAGACAATCGCGTATCTAAAACAAGATCTAAAACAAGATCTAGACTGGGATTTTTCTCAATGGTCCCGTCTGCTACAAAAATATTACTAATCAAATGTAAATAGAAAAATTACAATAAGCAAAATTAATGAAATCAATAATAATTTGATACAAACTCTTTTATAATTTGTTTATTCCAGTCTATTAACATGCCAGTGATTTGCTCATAGCTATCGACAATGTCATCGTAAAGTAGAAAATAAAGTTTCTTATTTAAAGGAAATACACGACTAACATTGATGTTTTTATCTTTATCTGAAAAATCAAGATCGAAATATGATACAGATCCGTTAGGTAAAAGCGTATGAATAGCTTTGTAGCGGTTGTCATTATGATCATCTATAATCATAATTACAAGGCTACCATCATAACTCGAGTTTACGTGAAATCGTTTATAATTAAACAAATCATTTCTGCTGCTTGAATAAATAACACGATATTCATCAGCAGTAATATTAAATAATAAAAGGATAAAACAGTAAATAAACAAAAAGTTTTTAGTTGAATTATTAAATTGGAGATCCATTTTAATAAACAGAATTTGCATAAAAGTGGTTGATTTATTGACAAATTATCAAGCTTCTCCATAGATGACCATCCATTTTCGCTAATTCTGTCTAAACCCCAAAAATTAACCTCAAAAATTAAAATTCCGATCTTTTTACATGTTTATGTTATATAATTACGTATTTTATTGCACCCTAAAATTAAATTAGGTCAGTTAACAGAAATATTGTTAATAAATTGCTTCTGACCAATTACAGCTACTATTTTACGTTATTATACTGTATTCTGCTTTAAACATATGATCAAAAGTTTTGACTAATATATCCAAACATTTACAAGAACATAAAGCTTGATACTCTGGCTATTCTCCAAACACAACGTTACTGGTTTTTGAGATATATTATATATGTTGTAAGTGGAAACGGAATTTAAGTGGATTCGGAATTTATATACAAAACCCCGTTTTGGGTTGATTTTATCATATGTACACCCTAACCCTAACCCTAATTTAACAAGGAAATTCCAAATTCACTTAAATTCCATTCCACTTACAACATATATACCATTCTAATATAAATAATTGAATGAATATCTAGGTCTTGATTTTTGACCGGGTCAGATCTCTAATGCCTAATTATCATTATTTGATTCGAAGTGAAATCCAGTAACTCTAAATTTAGATTATTTTTTAAAAATGTTTTAAATTTAGAATTCCCATTTTCTGTTACAATATCTCCATAATGATAAATGACAATCCCTTTTTGTTGAATGCTACGCTTCAATAGTTTACTTATCTGTTTTAAATCTAATTTATTGTTTTGTAGCCCGTAAGCTAGCACATTAAATTTAAAATCGGATATTTGAGTATTTTTACAAATAACTCCGCTACTTGCTGCTTAGCATCCGATAACTATGTATTGTTGTTTCGTTTAAAATTACAAAATGTATTGTTTTACAATTTATGTTTTCATTTTACTCTTAAATATTATTACTACGTTTACTCCAGCTGCGAGAATAAAACATGCTGCAGTTCTTATTGATAAAAAAATCTATTTCTTCAGCGGAATATCAAATTATAGTACATATATGACCAATGAATTTTTTTACCTAGATGTTTCTAAGTTATTTATAGTGCCTTACAAAGACTCAATGCCATAGGAGCATGGGGGACTTTCTCACTTTTCAGAAAAACACGGGCTTTGTCATAAGATAATTAACCAATCAAAACCGCTTTATCAACACATGATCAAAAACAGATAGATAATTGTTGAACAAAGGCAGCCAATCAACGGGCATGACTCGTATATACGATTTCGTTCATAATTTAGCTTTGAAGTAAAATAACTCGCGTTGTAAAGAAATCAGACTATTCATACACATCGTAACAGCAATTTTACAATTGTAAAAACTCATTAAAAGATTTTTTAATACAAGTTACACGTCCTTCAATAGTTTTTCTTAAAGTCTTGCGTAATTAATAAAACTATACTATCGTACATATTAAATTATTCTACTATGGTAAATATCTTTTAAGAAGCATGTATAACTTTAAAAAAAGAGTCTGCATAAGTTCGTAAATAAAAATTAACAAGTTAATAATTGAAATAATAAAGAAAAAAAAAATGAAAAACAACGTTAAATTTTGCGAATTAAGCAGTACAATATACTTTTACTATGCGGTAGATAGTACTTCAACTCTTAAGAGATCTACCTTTTATAGCGCGATGCAACACGATGCAACACGATGCAACTTGGTTTCTTGACAAGACGTTCGTTATGAAGGTATTTTATTAGTAAAGTATTGGATGTTTAGTTTTTTTTTTTTTTAGTTCACTTATACCCGAAAATTCTGGTTTTACACTACTATCCCATATAAATACTTGTGTAACGTCGATCCCGGAAATCATCGGATTCGAATTCGAGCTTGCCGTGGTCGATCTTACTTATACCAATAGCCCTACCAAAGGTCAACAATCCCAGGCCTGTATTTGTGGAACAAATGATGATGAAATTCTTCTTTTTTGGTAGTGAATTTTATAGTAAGCCTTCTAATGCTCTTCGTTTTGATATATATAAATTTAATATAAGTAAATGGTAGTGGAATAATATTTATTTAATACATTAACATCATCATGGGCTTTAAGCAATGCGACAAATGAACCAGAATATTATTAGAATAGTCAGGCAATAACTTTACCAGATGGAAATATACTGTATATTAGTGGGCGAATGAATAATGTAAGCTCTATTTTTTGATAAAATATTAACTGGTCTTTATTTATAACATTCTGTAGTTATCATTGTGTAACGTACATTCTGACAACTGGAAAACATAGTAAGTAAATCATAAATTAATACCAAATTTAGTTTAACATAAAATGAAATGCTATTATTTAGAGTACATCAGGCGAGATACCCCTACCAGCTTTTTCTCCGCAGTTTTAAGCATGTACACTCACATATAGGTATATTTTAAATACAAGGTATTTTTATTAATATTTTAATCTAATAGCAAATGACGTGCGCGTTATAATATATGGTGGTTCTGATGGTTATAATATTGATGATTTGTGGATCTTGAATACACGTTACTCTGGATATATCGACAATTTTTTTCATTAGTAACAAAATTCAAAATGTCGATATAGTGAGTTAAACCGGCATTTTATATTAAATTTTGAAAAAAAAATGTCGATATAGAAAGATTTTACTATGATGTCGTTATATCCAGATGTCGGTATAACCAGAGTGACGTGTATAACAATGTGTCAATGGCCAGTTGGGAATGTAACAAATCCAATGGTTGGTCCATTAAATCTTCGTTTTCATACTGCAACTTTGGTGGGCAATTATATGTTTGTTGCTTTTGATAAGTTATTAAGTTTTTTATTTATAAATAATATTTAATGTATTAAGCTTTATTTTGTTTAATAGGTGAAACGGGTTACGATCGTATGTCATCTAATATTTATATATTAGATATAAGCAAAAAAGATTTTTATGAATGGGTTACTAAATTTAATTTAACTGTAACTACTTCAATAAATTCAACTTCAATAATTCCATTATCTTTTTCAACCACTTTGAATATCAATTTTAATTTAATTTTAGTTCTTTTTTGGTTATACTTTTTAATTATGTAATTTTACAATTTATTATAGTTTATAAAAATATTAATATTTTGAATTTATCTTTGTATTAATAATATAGTAGTTATATTTTTAATTTAAATATACCAGGAACTGAGTGATATGTAAATATCACGAAGTGTATGGTTATACGGCAAATTAATGATGTGTGTCCGCAAAATCTTGCTTGCAATTGATTGGGCGTTATATTGCATAGTGTAAGGGCGTGAGTGCAGATTTGATTTTCACATGCAACTTCGTCACCGAATTTATGACAGGCACTCCTTGAATGTGTGCCAAGTTAATGGTGAATTAATCATCCAAAGTACAGTAATTTTGCGCAATTTAAAAAATTTTAATAATTTAAGTACGAATTACAATACAAATTTTAATGAACAAAAATATCATTTCTCAGAAATATCTAAAAATTATTTCTACCTAATTTCTGTCTTTTCTAAGTTCAAAAAATTGCACCCTCTTCGTCATTTTATAACTTTTAGTTATAGATAATAGTTATTCAATTCGTATGCTTTTTTCGTAATGCCTTTCAAACATTTTTTACAATTCAAAATAATAATAGTTCACCGAAGTTCTTAATTAATATATTTCAATAAATGTTCATTACGCAATGATATTTTGAATGTTTATTTTGTTAACAATTAAATAAATAAATAATAATAAAGATAAAAATAAAAAAATTAAAAAATCCTATTTTAGTCACGTGATAGGGTGTGCAGCCGTGCGGGTGCATAATTATTAAACCCATTTTTTAAAATAAAGTTTTAAATTATTTTCAAGTTATAAGGCCATACAAACTTATATTTTCGGTTTTCATATCCCGGCCGGGTCAGCAAAGCGGGAATCCAAAATTTTTATCTTTTTTTAATATATCTACCAATAAAATCCTCTATGCATATCATGTGACATTCTTGCGAAATAGTAATAGTATCAGTTTTTAATCTTTTTTGCATTGATCTATCATAATATAAATATTGCCAAAATGCTAATTCAGTAACATACTGTATAATGCGTAATTGAAAGCATATATACTCAACCTTAATGAAACGTATTTTATCAGCATTTATATGTATTTTGAACTGGATTGCACTTGATTTATCTCAAGAAAGAACCCATTTATATACAATTGTTATACAAAATCATCGATGAAATATTAATTAAAATAAGATTGTTATAATTAGCTAAATAAAAGATACAATTAAAAAACAGCATAAAGTATGGGGCTTTGTAGTTGAAAGAGTTGTAAACATATGGTTTTAAGATAATCAAGTTTATCATTAGAGATGTGCCACGTACAGTAATATACGTACAGTACTGTACGTACTGTACATACTGTACGCGAAAATTTTTGTCGATCATTTTATAGGTACAGCCAATCAAATTTAAGGATTTAAAAATTGTACTAATTCCGCAGACACGTGATGATCTTCACTA